AACGTTATGAAATTCGGCGATGACGAAATACTATATCGTCKATATCATACCATACGGTATACTTATATTATAAAGTGCATATTATATTTAATATTATATCTATACTTTTTTATTAATACAAAAATGAATACACGGGCATCCGAGGATGCATTAGAATACAATTTTTCCTGATTTTTTTACAATAATTTTTTGATGTTTATATTTATTAAATTTTAAATACTCGATTTTCTTAAAAACATCTAAGTATTAATGTTTAATAGAAAATCTGGATCCCTGTCCAAAAATGTTTGAGCGATGTTATACTTATCTTGTTTCTTAGTATTTACGACATATGTTGATAATGTGCCTGATAATTAGATATATATTTAACAAYACATGATTCACATAACGTATGTKAAGTTCTTATTTAATCATAAGTTACTGGAAAAAATGCATGTCTTCGTACGTAGAAGRTTTTCTATCATTTTTTATTTTATTTTATTTTCTACTTAGTTTTTGCCCTAGCTTTTTCCATTTGTCATTAAATATCATTTATATAAATTATATATGTATATTGTCATCATATGTGTTAATATTAAAATAAATCCTTTTGTCTGTTGACAAATCTGTTATAGATTAGGTACGCCTCTTGATCGGAGTTTTCATTTCTGATAATATTGCTGATTCCAAGTACTTTTTTTGTAAAAATGTTTCCTTTTCGCTAGGTACCTATTACTTAATATTCTTGAACGAGATTTATTAAACCAAATGTGGTTTTTGTGCTTTTAATTTTTTTAAGGCTACTAATAGTGAGTCACTGAATATAAACTTGTGTTATACTTTTTGAGTATATATTCGACTACTGTATGTAGGTATTGCTAGTGCATTAGCCTGTGACTGCAGTTCATTGAACATATTCCATATAGGTATGGTATAATTTTATACCATATTGTAGTCATCACCCGATAACTAAGACGTTATTAGTTTATAAATTGCTATAGTTTKTTTAATAATTTTATTGATGTATTTTAAAAGTATATTCTGTATTATGCATCTGTGTGTAAGGTTAAATTTAAGTAGTCTTAAAAAACTTTTTTTCTGAACTGAACTCAAGACAATACCTATCTATTAAAATATAATTGATTACTCCTGAATTTCCGTACAAAAAAAAAATACACTGTTTAAAACGATGCTATTTAAATTAAAAATTATTGTCAGCACTCAACAGCTAAAAAAAAACTATAAATGCCATAGATTAATTATTTATCATACTTAGGTAGTTCTTAAACTGCTTGTAGAATGATGAACTTCGAACCGATAATAATTTTTTAAAGTCATTAAATATTTGGTCTATAATATATACGCTTATAAACATTATTCGGCTTTTAAATGTACAATCTTTGCGATTTCTGTTAAATTATCTATACTGAAAATTTAAACCAACATCAATCATCTATGAACAATAAATCTATATCTAGGTACTGACTATATAAAAAAAWTTTTTTTTGCGTTTTCGAAGTAATATTTAATTAACTATTTGTTAGATTTTTGATTATTATAACCAGTTTTTTCCCATCTTCTTTTTAATATAATGTGTATTTTTCATATTATTTATGTACACATGAACTGCCAAGTATCTATACAACCCTCTTACTGAGTCCGCCGGTTGTCAGGTGAACGTTCGAATGTCCACGTGTGTAACCGACCAGCGTCCGTCCTTGACCGGACACAAGGCTGCACTTCTATCGGTTGTATGGTTATCGCATCCGTTGGGTATACTATCCTTTTGCCTACAAGACACACCTTTACTATATCTTCTCCTTATACATGCTATCTGCTGGAATGCTGTTTCTTTTCACATCCGACCGAATTATGCAACCACAGACTGCTGTATAATATATGTGCGTGCGATGAGTGTATATTTTCTCCTTAAACGCACCTCCCCTTGTGCTCCGGGCGGGCGTTTTACGTTTCTTTCTTTTCGAAAAACTATCCGACCTTGGCGTACAGCTTGGCATGACTAAGCAACGACGCTTTACTCATAAATTATTTGGATTAATATGTGTATATATATTATATATTATATGTAAGGTATACAAACGTATTTATTTTTTTGAGTAGATTACATAATACAATTGTGCGTCTCTTTCCATTTTGATTTGCTCTCYCGTYTAATATAGCTATATCACTAGTTTGCGAAATTATATACGACGATACCTAATGTCCGATGGGCGAAAGTAAACGAACATTATTATATTATGTATATCGACTTTGGATATCCAAGGTTTTTCTGCTTTGTACATGAGTAAAAATCTATGTCAGACGTTTCAAAGCTTTGACGGGTGAATCAATTATTAATGAGTAAACGTATAATATAATATACTCGATGGAAACACACGCGTCCCACACAGACATACAGAAAATGTATAATTATATAAGGTCATTCCGGATGTTTATGTGAACACAATATATAGGTACCCCTGAATTTTTGAAAAAATACTTATACATTTTATCGTATGACCAAAATCGTGCAATATCAATCATATACATCATTTGTTGAGGGAAAAATACTACGTCACGATCGCATGTGTATATTATTCGACATAAGCCAACCTAAAAAAAAATACATGGACAGCATTTATTGCCATGTGAACTTTAACTTACTTCCATTCCATCAATAGTTTATGCGTATATTATTATAACTAGAGTCGATAAGTGCGATTAAAAACTTAAGTCTGCGGTATTGTCAGTACTCGAATTTTGAGATTTTTTCTTAAAAACTAGTCAAAATACTTTACTAAAAGCTGAATTTTGAATTGTTGAAGTCTTATAATTACTTGTTATTTGTTCTTACCTAGTATTATGAAATCAATTTTACTAAATAGTTTCTTAACCACTCCATTGTTTACTAAGTATAAATGACATATAGGCTAGTACTTAAATTATTTATTGCAACATTATTTTTATGTTAAACAAATATATAGTTTCTATTAGTTTATTATTGTTATTTGCATTACTGATTCCTTGAAACTATATAAACATTAGAATCAAATGTCTGGAAAAATTCTCATTAAGTTCTTATAATATTGATTTATAATYAACCACTTAATATAAATAAGTTATAAGTTTATGTATTATACTTATAATGTAGGTACACGTAAAATTTACACTTTAAATAATAAAATATTATTATTTATTACTCAACTAAATAGTAACTATAACTAATACTGCATTTTTGGGGAGAAACTACATGAGAAAGTTTGTTTGTTTTATATTTAATTAATTAATACTTAACATGTAATTGTTGGTGGCGTAAACCAATCTTATTATTATGACAGTTGTACATTTTCTACGTATTAAGTACCTAGAAAATAACATTCAATTTCCTAATGTGTGTATTTGGGAATTTCTTACGAAAAAAATTCCACCATAATGTATATTTAATTTAAAAATATGTTCATTAGAAATTTTAGACTAATATTTTAATAATTGTATTCGCATTTGTGTACTGGAGTAGTTCTATTATAATTTATAATTATTAAATAATACTTATCGGCCACGTAAAATATTATTCATTAATTTTCATAGGTGTATAATTAGGATATTAATTATTGTGATATTAGGCACAGATGCTAAGTTATTTAATCTTAGAGGAATCTTAATAGAGCTATAATTTGACCTTATTAGAAAATAATATTTTCAGGAAAAATTTCGTAATGGCCTTTTATAACGCATTCTTGTATTATAAACTTTTTTTAAAAACTAAAATAAAATTTTAATTTTATGTTTTTTATTCTTGTCATATAAATTAGTGCGTTAATATATAATATAATAWATAAAATATAATATAATATATAATATATCTGAACGTTTCACGAATGACGTTCAATATACATTTAAATTTTTATCTTTTATGGTATATTTTAGATATTAGTCTCAGAGAAGGTATATCAGCCAATTTCATCAGTCATAAATAATATGTAAAACCAATATTTCTGTCCGACCATCATATTGTGTCATTATGTTCGACTAAGGGTCATAAGTACACGGTCACTTCGGAGGCGTAACCGGGCGCTCAAGTTAGGCAACTCCTACTACCTTCGCGACGTAGATCAACCAATGAAAAATTATACATTTTTATTTTATTTTTTCAGTCTCTCTTTGAAAGAAGTAAAGTATATGTCTGATTCGTCTAATCTAGGTATAATGGCCATAAATACTATAATTATTTCAGTGAAAGTATATTTTGGCATTAACTGTCTAGTGATAACCATCGTATTATCTAAAACTCATAGGACGTTAATAATCGATCTGCTATACTATTGATCTTAAACAATGKAATAAAAAACCCTTATCCCATTGAAATGTTTTATTTTATATTAAAATATTTAATGAAGATTAATTAAAATCATATTCTATATAAATAGAAAAGTAAAAAATAAATAATAATGATGAATTATATCTACTTTTTCGCATATTTTCAGATATATTATATACATTTATTTATTAATTATATATCGAGTACTTAATGTTGTAGTATTTAAAAAAAAAATTAAATAAAAGTTATTATTTTTATCGCAAAGTTATGATTTTAATCTCTAATCATCAGAATAACTAATTAAACGTTGTTTAACACAATACGTTACCTTGTTGATGTGCTGTTCACTCGAGATCCTATTATTTTTTAATAATAGTATCAAACTATAAGTTAATCAGCTCATATCATAAATAAATGAAATTTAAAATGAGAATATTATAAATCCTTCAAAATCCATAAATCGTTATTATATAATGTGTAATTAAAATGCTAACAATTGTGTTGAAAGATAAATATTAAATATTATAACAATATAATGCATTCAATCGATTTCTTATTAATGTAATTATTGTGTGATGGCTAAACACTTTTTTTTTTGTACGTATTTATAATTACTATGAACTATAATAATATGGCCATGTTAATAATAATTATTATATATTTATTAACAAATTGTATGACTATTTTTTRTTTTATTTTTCAGGTAGCCATGGCTGGTGATTATATATTGGCAGTAACATCTATGATGATCGCCAGGCTTAACCATAATGACGTCACAATCACGCTTAGCCAAGTACGTGTAATCTTGTTAATGTTAATATTAAACCAAACTTAAATATATCCTATATAGTATCGAAAAACGGCACAAATTGAAAACTTTACAGATCATCACTGACTTGGTTCAAGGGGAGTTCATGCAGCTCGGCTCGAAGGAGACTGAGAACGAAAGATTTGCTCACTATTTAACGAAAACTTACAGAAAAACAGCCAGCCTCATAGCCAATTCAGTTAAAGCTGTAAGTAAAAAATTATGTAACTCGATAAATACCATAGAATAAAGACTAAATAAAAAGTTCATTATAAATTATGACTGCAGAACTTTTAATATTATATTTTATATTTACAATCAAATTGTTTATGTATGTAAATATTAAATGTAAATTGTTTAACCTTAAATAMCTCTTCCCCTTATAATATTTTAAATCATAGTATCAGTTAATTAATTATTCGTTATTGGATATTTATTTTTAATCATATTCACGCATTGTTCTAAGCATATTACACGGAAGACCTAATATTATATTATAATTTGAAATTTAAAAAAAAATTGTATTAAACCCATAACAGTCTATTATATAGTTTCAAAGTATCTAACATTCTGCTATAATCCAGTCCTAAATTTATAAAATATCACCGTATAATTTACGACTATATTATTTTTATTCTTAAAAATCAATTATCGAGAATTTGTTCTTTATACCAAAATCCGATTTAGCATATCATCCTGATATCACGTTGTTCGTAAATTTTCAGCAGCAGCTTCTGTGCAATTATTGATGTGATATCTGTATCCAACGTTCCAGTCGGACTTGGCCTTATTTCTAAAACTAATTACCACGGCATCGTCCGAATTCGGGATGGAAGCGTATCAAATATTTTGCACATCATTTATTTCCCATTCTCGTCGACGTTTATATATATATATATATATATATATATATATCTGCCTGTGTCGTATATACACTCTGCGTAAAACAATTACATTACGTATTCATTTTTGCACCGCTCTCTTGCGTTTAACGAACGCTTCAAATTATTTCATTTCTTTTAAACGCCTGGCTGAATCTCAAGGACCTGTCGAAGGAATATATAGAACATGCACGCAGACGGTAAAACTGAGCCATAATAATTTGTTTCTGTCGATTCACTCGTGACWATGTCCGGTAAAACTATAATATGCACCGGACGCTGCAAAGGTAAAAAAACACCTGTTCCACGAAATTTATAGAAAATATACAATATCTTATACTCGTGATAGTATATATACCTACATAATATCATACAAATGCGATGTTACGTAGGCAATTTAATAAAAATACTATACCTGCAGAATTGAATCATGAACGCAGTGCGTAGGTATGTAGTTTTGTGTGTATAATAAATATATTATTTTATCATTGATCGTTAGTCGTTAATTATTAAAAATGAACGTCGTCGCACAGAATACATTACGAAAGAAAGCGAAATTTACTTTGCGCGTACATACTGCAGTGGCGGGTAAACCCTATACTTTTAATTGCCGTATTGTGTTAATAGTGTATAGTTCATATGCATATAAAATTACCATGCGGATTAATTAAAACATTTTGTGTTTAATATATATTACATGMATTTTCAGGACGTTCCCAAATTATTACCCTATTGTGTTATAGCTGGTCAATTCCTCGAGTGTGATTCCGCAGTGGATATGTACGCTCGTACTACCTAATTAATACCTTAAATCATTGTTTACAATGACTTCACTAATGGCGTATTATTATTATAATACTATATAATAAATAAACTATTTTTTTTCAGCACTATTATAATAATTATTATTAGGTATAATATGTGCTGAAACTTTGGTTGACGAAACGTTCGCGCAAATACACAATATATTATAATCTTATATTATTATGTATAAAATATGTAATAATAATATTATAATGATGTATTGATGTGTAATGTGCATGTGCATGTTGGTATACCAGCAATACTATTATTTATAAATATATACCTATAAAAAGAATGAAAACGTTACATTACGAAATCTCCGTGAGACTTTTTTCTTTCTTTTTAAATTATTTTATTGTTCTATGCTAATAACGGAATTCGTTCTTATAGTAAAACAGTTCTATTCAGAATACTAAGCGCTATTGCGGGGAGACTCGGAGTAGCGATTTTCACTTTTTGACCGGTGTATTTAAGCATAATATAAAACTGTTAAGCCACCTGTACACTTAACGACTGTATAACCTACATCTATACATACCGTATTACACACACCGACCGGGGTCGAGTTCGGCTATATGCAAACTGTTCAGATAAAATCTCTGCGGTATGAATAAAAAAAACATTGTTCGATGCATTATTTTGGTTATGACTGGGATAAATAAAAACGGATTTTTTTACCGCGCGCTGATAATATAAAATGTWTACCTTCTAAATAAAAAAAAAGATTTTTTCCTATAGTTTTCTCTATTATTATTATTCATTTCGTCGTTGTTTACTTCGCAGGAAGCTATGTTAGCTGGTGCCGACGATCAATTGGTCGATGTATCGTTCGAGTACGGCCGCAACATAGGCCTGGCGTTTCAGCTGGTCGATGACCTGTTGGACTTCGTGTCCAGCAAAGATGCCATGGGTAAACCGACGGCAGCCGATCTGAAATTGGGCTTGGCTACCGCTCCAGTACTATTCGCCTGCGAAAAGGTATGCATATACTTCCTTTGCTTCTTAAACTTTTACTAAATTCAATATTAACTAATTAACGCTAAATCTAAAAAACCTCCCAAACTATTTGAAACTTGATAAAAATTATTTATCATTCAACTTTTAAAATACCAGACCCAATCGATAGAGACCGTATTGACTGTTGGATTTTTTTTWAAAAAACGTGAAAATAGATATTCGAGTTTTTTTTTTTTAGTTAAAGTAAGTATAGTAAATTAGTCAAGTATAAATATACATAAATTGCAGTATATAAACCAAGATACTCTACAAATTAATGAAAATATAATATTTGTTTTGGTTCTCTGTAATCAACTAAATATTATACATCAAACTGTWTAGTTTGATAAACTTACGTATATCGATGTTCAAGTCGTGAAACCACGACATGCAAACKTGGGACATGATATTTAAAAATATTTGAAGCAAAATTAATTCRTCAATATTATTTTTTCCTAATAGGTAGTTTAGGTATTTTACCATTCCTTAAAATCGACTAGTTCATAGTTATATTATATACATATTATTGGCATCTCATATTCACTATCATTAAACATGTGGTATTCATACAGGTCGTTAAAATGTTACATTATGTAAATCTAAACGACCCTGTACTTAAACACAGTAACCTACTGCCTAATAATTGATTTAGAGTTTACCCGCCGATCGTTCCTTCTACTATATTATGTATTATATATATATATATATATATATAATATTGAATTACGACAGATTTTTGCCTTCGTCCCGAAAAAAACATCAGTCTCTGTTATTAGAAGTATAACCTAATTGCAATGACCAATAACCGTGTGTGCATTTATTTTTTATATTTCTAGAAAATAAATATGTCTAGAAAGGGTCAATTTAATTGTTTTAATTATTATTAACTGTAATATACGATTTATACAATTTTCTCGTAAAATACGAATATAATTTTTGATTGTTGTTGATTTTTATATGTAAATATGTCTGAGATAGKCGTTCGTTTTGACAACTTTCGGTCATGAAGGGTTAAATCAGTCGGTAATTTTGTCCAAGTGCATATATAGAGACAGAAGATGGAACGTGTCTCTGCTCTCACTTCCCAATTACGTAACTAAATGTAATTATATATTATACATTTCATATTTATGCAATTATATCACAAAAATTCGTTTTTAGGATATGTATTTTCCTATACACTTTCGATTACTTATATCAAATCGTTTGATCGTCCTCGGGTACGTGACTATAGCCACATATTCCCCGAGGTGTATTGCGGACACTTTAAATTGGTGGTCAATGGCATCTCGTCACCAGACTAGCTGACTAGCTCTTGTATACATAATATATTTTATATTAAGCACATATTCTAGTGTTTTATTTTTTTTTTAGTGACAATGATTTTTTTWGCATATTTCAATATTGTTGATGAATGAACAATAAATATTTTCAAACCTATATCAGCTGCGTGCCCTATATACCTAACCTAACCTAACCTACATGTCTAAAGAATCGCAATTTTGTCGTGGCAATTGTATGCGGATTTAAGACGACCCGGAAATAAAAAGTAATCATCGTTTAATCGAATCGAAAGAATTATTTCTGTTGAGGTTGMTCATCGCCAARTTTCTTTTACCAAAAATATACCTAACACAATATAATAACCGCTTTCTTGCGACCAATGGGATTTCGCCGGAACCGGCGTGCATACTTGCCAGTATATTATTATTATTATTATTATCATTATTATTTTGTGGCCGTAATCCGTCCTGCACGACAAACCAGTTGGTTGGGTTGTAAATATGTTTTTCTCTTTTATTACGTCAACAATATGGGTATCTACAACTCGTATGTATGTTGGTTGTGTTTCTCGCGCGCGATGTAATAATCCCGGGGCAGAGCGCAATCAATTGTGTTTAATAATCTCACGCTTTTCGCTACRGACGTATATAACACGTTTATAAAATAATATTGTAATATTATAGATACGCGTGCGCGTTTTAATATAAAATATATACATATACGGGAATGGGTAGTTGGACATAATAATATTATGCGTTGTTTTATGACGCGAACCTGATGCGCGCGTTACGTTGTCGAAATTCAGGTTATGATTAGAGGCATGTCTGTGATGTGTGTAGGTACTCTCCGCCTTAGAATGTATCATGTATGTATGCAATAATTATACTAAGTAGGTAGGTAATAATTTATTAACAAGGGTCATTGGCGGATCGCATCTCCTGAGTAATTTAATTACTTTTTCTCGCGTAAATAACGACGTTTCCATTTTTCTTTCACGCCTAMKTAGGTGCTTACGTTTTTTCGTCTCGGCCAAGCGATGTAAGCTCGGTGCATTATTTTATCATATTATGATACACCGAGTATAAACAAAAATAATTTTTTCCGAAACTCTTCTTCGCCAGTAATCAACAAGTATCACGATTTACGATAGCCAGCACCTGTATTATAAAAAGTGAAGTGGCCTACATTAAAAAATTGATATTTTCTCCACTGCATTGAAAAACTTTGAATTATACAAAATATATTTGTTTTCGTCACACCTGATTCAAAAGTTCAGTTTTTGATGACAGTTAAAGCGTTGGAAAAGTGACCTTATTCCGTCCAATGGTTAATAAAATGGGAATCCCGTCATAGTTAGGTTAGCCAGCGTATACCCTGCACAACTAGATACTGAAATTCATAACACGGTCCTTATTAAACATAAGCTGTTGTTTACGTCTTAAACAGTTAAATTCATATTTAGCATACTTGCATGATGCGTAAATAATAATATTTTTCTTTCACGAAATTAAATTCCTTGAATAATCTGGTTGTTGCATAGAGCCCTCCATAGGCCTGACAAAAAATATTTGTAACTCGTGCGGGAAGGCAATTTCAATTTTGGTCGAAATGCGGCGTTCGCATGTGGTTCATGCAGCCAGAGACATAATTTGGAATTTGGTTTGGGGGGGGGGAGATTATATATTTTAGCGAAATCTGTAAGCCTAACTCAACTTAATCTACAGTAACCTACCCCACCAAATATAAAATGTTAACAGTAAATAAAAGTTTTTTGGGATCCATCCCCTCCACCCCTTAATTACGCCCCTGTATGCAGCACACGTCGCCCGCAACTGAAATAGCTCAATTCCCGCACTTACTACACAATAAACTATTTTAACAGTCGCTTTTATAATCTCTAGTGTAATAATAAGTAAAGCACAACAAAAAATAATCTAATATGTCCAAAAACACTTTATAATATTAAATAATTCACTGTAAAATCGGCATTACATTATGTCCCYCTTCGTGAAAAACTTTGACCGTCTTATATGACGGCCGACGATAGACGTACAAATCGATGGCTAAACAACAAAAGAATCATAACTTGAAATTCAAGTGGCATGGCCTATATTATTGGATGGAATTAATTAACAAACAGACGTACAAATAAAAAGTAAGTATTTTATAACAAAATGCCGAATTATAGATATATAGGTGTGCAAAAAGTTGTTACTTATCAAAAATTTAAAAAAAATTATCAACATCAATACAAAATGTTGTTTAACTCTCCTGAAAACCTTGAAAAACGTCACTTACCCCCCTTTGTTGTGGAACGTTCAATATGATAGATATTATTATATACCCGATTTAATTCGAAAAAATACAGTACACCTACCTTTTTAATACAACATAATATAACCTATTGAAATTCACTCGGACTCGATTTACCGGTTGATAATTGATTATGTACCCAATCATTTGGGACTCGATTATTTACCTGGCCCCGGCGACGCAGTTAAATCAGTGGGTTGCATGAGGAAGGGGTACACGATGTGTGTATTGTGCGAAAGTAAGACGACCGCGCCTAACCTAATTACGGCTCGATCGACAGACATTCGGTACGTCTTATATATTACCATCGAGGGCGGCACATATTGTTTGAGGGACGTTAAGAGAGTTCAAGTTATTGCAAATGTTTCGTGTTGTTTAAAGGAATAAAAACTCTTAGGAATTAAATTAAATGTGAAATTCGTGTTAAAACCGTCTCGTTATATTTTTTTTTCATTTCTGTTTCACTATTATTTTGTGATAACCGCATAATAATTTACTATTATAAATCTGTACTACAGATTCTGTAGAAACGTTATTCGTATTTTTACAATGATTACCTATATTGAATTAAATTATTATTATGTAAATGAAATTAATATTGGTGTATAAAGTAAGCAGACGTTCGTTCGGTCTAAAACTCTTAAGGGGAAGGGTGCAACTAATATTTATCTCAAGGTGATTTACGCCGGATCTATTGCAATATCTTCAGTATTTAATTTTTATTTATATAAATCACTAAATAAACTGAACAAATTTTAGTGGCATAAACCACTCAACCACGTTACAAAAAAATTTAGTAAGTTGAAAAATAATTTTAAAAATGAATAATATACATATCAATATTAGTGTATGCAGCTGTCGTTTACTGAAAAGTGACAAATAAACTAGCTAAGTCTCTTTAAGACTCATTTTAATGGGTCTGACTATTAAATAAGTATTTATGATTTATATAGATAATTATAAAATAGTGAAAATGGCAAACCTAATGCAGTGATTCCACAGKTGACACTTTAACTGTGTGAAACAAGTAGCTTTTTCTTTGTAAAACTTTTTCATTTTTATCATTGATATTAGATACTTTGGTTGCACAACGGCTACATTGGATCACAGCGCTGAGCTGCGCCGAATGTTCTTATCAAATAAGGGAGACAGATATCTGTCAAAAAGTCACATACAAACGCCCTCTACACCTATTATTATAGCATGAACTCTTATACCATGTTACCATACTAATAATAATAATTACACAATAATTAACAAATTAATTAATATGATTAATTATTTTATTCTAAAATATGATAATTATTACATGGAATCTTAAAAAAGCAAGGGAATTTTAAACACGTTRATGTAGTACATTAAATATACATTATAGAGGCGTTAGTTTGACACAACTTTCTTTTAATTATTGATAAGAACATGATGTTCTGAACATCCAGAGCCGTCATATTCGTGCTCGTTGTGCAACCATAGTATCTATATCCATGGTAATTAGATATAATAACATACAGAATAGTAAAGCGGCATACTATCAGTGCTTGAATTAGGGGGAGGCGCATGGAAACTCAGCTCCTATACTATYTTTTGATTTTAAATAGCGTTCCATTACTACATTTTCCTAAAAGAACGCACGGGTACGCCGTACGCGGTATTAAATGCCAATGAATATTTTTATTTTGTATTTATTCAATCTTATAAAAAATTAAATAGTGTAAAAAATATAATAAACTTGTAAGTGTTGGAGAATTTTATTTTACTTTTTATCAAAAATCAAAATTGTTAAAAGTATCTTACAGGTAACAACAGTCTGTTTAAAGATCAATACAATGTTCTACTTGCTGACTTAGACATGTTACATCCTAAGACATGACCTGATAAATTTGACTTCCAACATGGTGATGCCAATATACGACGTTTGGCTAAACAATTTCAAGTTGATGAAATAGCATCATTACGTGGTTTTCGTGAATTCAAAGAAATTAAAGACCATTCTAATATTTTTGATCTTAAACCACTACTGACTGCAGTTAATACAGTGGCAATTTCTTCTTGTGCGTGTGAACGGACATTTAGTGCAATGAACATGTTCTTAGTGTTCTTACACCTAAACGAAATTCATTATCCACACAGCATCTATATTCATTACTATTTATAAATTGSGTTGGACCTTCTGTAAAATTATTTATACCCAGCCCATACGTACACTCTTAGATACTTAATGGACGAAGAATTGCGGATGAAGTGTGTTGCCCAAAAAGAGTGGAAAAAGTTAATGATGTTCGATGTTCATGTTTCTTATATGCCTTTATGAACTTTACTTTAATCGGGTCCTAGCTCCTAAGCCTTATCCATTGTATTTTTTTTTTATTATTATTATTGTTAAATATTAACATTTAGAGAAATAAAATATATAAACTAATAAAAATATAGTTATATTATGGTAATAATTAAGGGGGTGTGGGGGGGGGGCAAAGCTCCTCACGGGTTAGTACTCAATAAATGTTCAGTTGGAACACTGTTTTTGAATTTCTACTTGAGTTCCCTTTCTTTCAATTTCCCAATTCGAGCACTGCATACTATACTATTTTCTCATAAACTAAAAAATAACTTTTCTAGGAATTTTGTTTAGGATTTTATGCTATAAGACAGCCTTCTTAGATATATGTACTTATATTTTATATGAAGAACTATTTATTATAAAATAACAGGTACTTAATAATACCAATAAATCAAGACTTTTTTTTTACAATATGTTACTAATTAGAACAATAAGTAAAATAGATTGAAGAGTTTATGACTTGGATAAAAACCTTCCATTAAAGGCACTTTGTCGGTTATCTAATCATATACATAAGCATTTACAATGACATATTACAGTTATAAAATAGATTTATATTTGCTAGATTAGTAGGTCTCGACACCACTGCCGTTTTAATGTTTTTGGGATTTCCTGGTATACTTTCTTACGCAAGTCCTTTGATAAGGGATTGATGTGGTTTCGGACATTTAAATTKAATAGCCTGTAAAATATTTCAACTACACCGTGGACGGGCGAGATGGTAAGATCGTTGTGTAAGGTCTGGTTGGATACATAGAAGAGTGTTTTTATTACAGCACGGAGGATTTTTGACTGAAACCGCTGAATACGGTTTATGTTTGAGATTTTTTCAGAATCTCATACTTGGATACCGAACGTTCACATTGGTTTAAGATACGATCTGTATATTAGTAGCTTTACCTCAAGACTTAAACTTTAAAATTAATTCACTTTAATATAGTGAATATATTATATTACTATAAATTCATATACCTTTGAATATCTTTAAACTTAGGTGTAGATATATAGGAACTAAGATTTTAAATTTAAATTTTCAATAAACAAATATATATATACAAATATATCGACCGCGTTGGTATATAATTAAGAATTTAATACGTAGTCTTATATCCAACTGCAATAATAGCTGCATGGTTCGCGTTTTATTATAGTCAAAAATTTGGAAAATAATAATAATAATAATTTGAGCAACAATAATACATATACGTATGTAACTGTAAAAATACTATAAAATCGAATTAAAAAAGTTTTAAAAATTAACATTAATATTGTTCGACGTATAACCGTTCATCGCTTGCGGCAGCGGTTTTGGCGMACCAGATCGGCATATTCCTCTGTGGATTGTGCTGATAGTTCGCACCCACGATTATTTGCTTAGATAGAACCGTGGTTGCGCCTCTCTATCAGCGGGTTCGGACTTACCCCGTGAGTGCTGATTGGTGTCTCTCCATTCTTCTGCAAACAAATAACCCCGAGTTTCCTCGGTACGCCTGACAATACTTGTTCTTCCAACCGATTTTCAATTTCTTCGAGCGTTAACGTCACCACCTCAAAAGAATTATCTCCCTCCTTTTGACTGCTACTGCTGTTGATAACATCACTATTGTTACTGCCGTCATCGTTTCCGTTATCACTGCTTGTACTGTTTTCAATCCACCTGCTACCAAAATTGCCGTCATTGCGTCTACCACTACGGCCAAACATTGATTTATTCGAAGTAAACATCACGTCCTTTACTAGTGTTTCAAATCGTTGGGGATCGAACATAGTTTTTTTTGGCAACGGATCCTTTCGCACCCAGGCCGCGATCTCGTCATCTACTTTGCAAGCTCTCGATGGGTTAACCCGCCACAAGAGATTGGTCTGCAACGGGGACCCCGAATTTAACTCGCTAGTGGGTTCATTGTCCAGTGTCAGGAACAACGTGTTCTCGTTCAGATATTGGCGTATATAGCGCCGCCATTGTTCAGTCGTCTTCCGGAAGTAGGGAAAATTAATGTACACGAACTTGAAGATGTCGCTGATGCACATGAAGCCATTTGGTGAGCTTTTCAGCGCCAGTCCAATCAAACCAGGGTATGAACAAATGGGCCTGGGATACAAATTCTTCTTGAACATTTTTCGTTCAACTAAGTCATTAGGTTTTATTAAAGTCACCCGATTAGTCTGTCCGTCGATCTTCATAGTCACGGAAGAGCCGGTGGCAGTATGGACGCAGGGTCTATTCAATTTTAGCTGGTTTTCCGGCAGTGTTCTGGACGATTTCCAATTGTCCGAGTAGTTTGTCTGTCCGGAATGTTTTTGTTGTTCTCTCAGGTTTCTATCTGCGTGATCATCATCGCTCTGCTGGTCTTCCCGCTTGAAGAATCTCGCTATCTCACCGTTGTAATTGATTCTGCTTTCACTGACGCTGTTAGCAGCCATCTGCTGCGGGTATTGCTGCTTATTCGTGCCGATGGGCTGTAATTCGACTTTAACATCTCCTTCAGTGTAGGCATACTGAATGGGTGTTCTCATTTGTACTGCCCTGTTGATTTTTAGGTCTTTATAGAGACTCTTGCTGTGAACTCCGATAATTCTGGTAATCTTCGGGAAAGATATGACTGGGACTGTATTATCGTTGTCTCGTTTAAAACTAGAAAAATACAAGAACTTGTTAATAAGAACAACACTGAACGTTATAGTTGGGTGTATATAATTAGTTAATTAAGTAATTTATTATTGTAGGTCTTATTTTTTGTTTCAAATACTTAAATTTTTCCATTATAATACACCAAAATATATATATATTTTTTTTTGTTTTGTTCTTTCAGTACCCCGAGTTGAATGCCATGATAATGCGGCGGTTCCAAGAACCAGGTGATGCAGAACGTGCCTTTGAGCTGGTACACAAGTCACAGGGTCTCGAACAGACGCGGTTTCTTGCCAAAAAGCACTGTCTCGAGGCAACTCGTCTGGCCGGCAAGATTGCCGAGTCACCGTATCAAAAGTCTCTGTTGGTCGTACCCGACCTAATAGTAAATCGCATGAAATAGCCAAATCCCCTTTGCTTCTTTAGAATACACAGATAAATGTGTATGCACATTTTTAGATACAATTTTAAAAAAACGTAATGGTGAACCAGTTATTATATAAAACTAGTCCCAATTATTCGAAAAAAAAAATATATAATCTATATGCTAATTATTTTATTTATATCGTACGAAGTTTAAATCGCCTCAATTCAAAGATACACTTATTTTTGTTATTATATTATTTTATTTTAATGTATGTTTATAATTAGTTTTAATTACCTACATACATTTGTTTTTTTTTTCAACACTAGTACTTAAAAACAACATACCATCATAATATCAACAATAAAGTAATTTCTGTACCATACTGTTRTAACTGTGATCTATATGTTTTTCATCGCCGTACCATATTTATTTTTTAATATTTTATTTTTTTAGTTATACTCAAGAAATTTTTGTTTATTAAATAATTTAATGGACAAATTATCTTTATATATGTATATTTAGAATATATACAACTTATTATAGTTTTCTGTACACTATAATCTAATTTTAACAGCGCACAAATTAATTTTTAACAAAATATATTTCAAAAACTCACATTTTGTAGCTTTTGATTATTATGATGTTATAATTAAGATTATGGTGTATCACTTAATTTGATTCTATGCACAGAATCAAGTATAATTTTTATATTATTAAACATAAATAAAATTCAGTACAACTGACTAACAAGATCGTATTTTTTCTCCACATTTTATTTTTCTTAACTTGATGGTAAAACAAATTGTAAATACCAAAGAAAATACATTATTTTGTAATCTATAAAAATATTATTTTATTAGTCTATGATTTATATTAATTTATTATTATTATTATTATTATCTTTTTTTACCATTTAAAATTACCATTGTGTATAAAAAAAAATTGTTTAATTTTTTTGTAAATGTGTTGTAAATCTGCATATATATATTTGGGTATTTGGGTCTTATAAGCATATTAAAAATAATATTTTAAAACCTACGTATTTATTTTATTTTTAACACATAATTTAGATTTTTCAATAATATGATTAAGCTGAACTCATTTTACCTTTTTTTATGCTGTAATGTATTTCACTACAAAAATGGAATATTTTTTACACAAGTAAAAATATATTATGTATATTGATAAAAAAAAACTTATAATCAACACATTTAAAATAATAATTATTAATAATATTAAGAAAAACATTTATTCAAAAACAATTTTAAGACAGTTTAATCGTAGTATTGATTTTGTATTCATTAATAATCCTAAATCAARGATTTTTTCAAATAATGTTCATTTAGTTAATTTCCTAAGTTAACATTCATTTGGAACAATAAGAATCTGAATTAAATTATACATTCAATTAAATTKTTGAGATAACTTTAAACTAAAGAATCTATTAATTGTTTTGTTAAACAAGAAGTTAACTATAAATAATTATTATAAGTGAATTAAAATCTACATAGGTAACCAATATTTTAAAATGCTTATCTATGGTTTACCAAATTATTATAACTTACATTACTCTAAATAACAATCTRCTTCATCAATTGTTTATCATGAACTATAACATTAATTCTTTAATTTTAGTGATCATTTTTATTTTTAGCTTCAATTTATATGGAAAACACATTTACAACCATATTATGGATACTACAAAATATAAGTATCTTAAAATATGTGTATGAAATATTAAATTAATGTTTAAAGTTTTTAATACACCCATAGATTCAACTAAAGGTATTACATATGTAAAAACTTTTGATTTTTATATAATTGTTATCCTTAAATAAAAATTATTTTTATTATATTTTATATTTATTTTAACAAAATACTATGTATTGAACAATATTCACAGTTATATATTAAAAAAAAAAACATCAAAATATATGCTTAAAATGTATTAATATGAGTAGTAAAAATATCAAATCACAGAAAATTAAAATCTTTATAAACATTAATAAGATGTAATKTAAACTTAAAATAAATCAAACAAATTTGTTGTTGTATTTACCGTTTCATTTGTTTCAATGGATTTTTTGTTGGTGCTCCTTGTATCATTGAATCAGTTGAATTTTCTGTCTTGCGAAATACCTTCATAGTAATAGCAGAGGCAGGAGGAGGTAACAATGGTCCTCCTTCTGGTGTTTCGGGTGTTAGAAGTGTTTCAATTGGAGTCGTTGTACTCCGCACAACATCTTTACCCATTTCTATAATGCCTTGACGCGAACTAAGCATTCCACACAACTGTAAACAAGATTGTATTATAATTGTAGGATAAGCAACTTCAAATTATATTTTATCTAAACATTGTTAAATAATAATGTTTTTACTTCTAACATTCCAGTTAGAACTTGTCTAGCCTCTTTATTATGAATAGGAACAGCTGGATCTAAAATGGAATGATACTGCAACAATTTAATTCTACACAATTCGAGTAGGTCCTAAAATGACATCAAATTATTAATGTTCTAATTAATTAAAATATAATATTTATTAGTAAATTTTAGTTACATCTGCCGAATTTCTCGTTGGTCTTGATACATAACTAATAAGTTTAGATGGCCTAGAATAAAAACAATTTATTTATAGGTAAATTTTTGTAGATTGTATTTATTCATAAATCATAATTGATAAAATYATGCATTATGGTATTATAAAAGATAAATCTATATTTGAGTAAAGCAGACTTTTTTTCCAATTAGTAAGATTATATAATTACGTAATACTAATAATTTATTAAATTAGATTAACCATGAGTGTTAAAATTACTTTAAAGAGTAATATAATTTWAAAAAAATAATTATCATACAGTCTTTGGAACTTAAAATCTTGTTCAAAACCATTTTGATTTATTTGTTGTAAATATAAATACTAACCGTTCTATGTGGTATTCAGTAATATTAGATTTTATATTGTCACTCTTATCATGTTTAAGAGAATTTATAATAGATGGCATTATGTATATCTGAAATAAAATAAAATTACAAAAAAATCTACCAAACTAATGAAAAAACATTTTTACCTTGGGATCAAGCATATGTAATGCATATTCAATAACAGTCATCACATCGACATGGGGATATCTCATTAAATAGTTTAAACAGTTTATAAAGTCACTTTTTAGTACTGAAAATAAAAATTATCTAAAAAAATCTAAAAAAAATATGTTTTATCATACATTGTATMACTTACGTTGAATTCTTATAAGGGCCAACATAGCAACAAAAATATGATTAACCAATGCAAAGTCTTGAGGTGATGTGGCAAAAATAGCATCCCATAACACTAATACATCAACTAATAAAAATTCTCCACCAAACAGCAATCTCAACCAACGACTAAAAATKATAAMAATCATTATTTCATTGGAAAAAAATTAGTACAACTGCAATAATCTACTTACAGTCCAAAAGTAGAAAATGAAATATCCAAATCCACTAAATGACCATATAATTCTGGGTCATGTTTAATCAACATTGTATCACGTATTTTATAAAGTTTTTTAACAACTTCACTATCAGATGAAGAACTCTAAAACAATTAACAAATATTAGCTATTRCAATAACAAAAAACAAATATAACAATTTTTAGCAAAAATTTAAATTAACTCACAGTAGTCTTTACATGCTTAGTTGGTTTTGACGTAGATTCGATAAAATCGTTAGCGTTATAATTGTCTTTCATTATTTCCATTATAGTATTAAATAAAGAACTAGAAGTAAAAAGTATTTAAGTCATCGAAAGTACTAAGATTATTAATAACCAATATTAGACAAGCATCTGTGATGTCTTATACACCTACAACATTGACTATGTTACATGCAGTGGCACAATTATAGGGAGTGTTGGGTGTGCAATTCACAGGGGCCCCGGGTTTTTGGGGGCCCCGATTCCTGAGATCTCTTGTATGATATTTGAATATTTCTACTATRATTTGTATTCTGTAGTATACAAATATTATATATTTTGTTTTACATTTTTAATATAATAATATCTTAACTCTTTGAGTTTAGAGAGTTTGAATTATGAGTATGAAAATATATTATTAACAACCAAAAACTTATGCAAAAGTTAGGACATACCAACGAATTATCGAACAGAAAGAACAAGATTTGCAATCAAACATTTTGATGAGATTGATGGAAATCGTTGACTAAATATTACGGAAGAAAATTTAAAAATTAAATTATTTTTCCAATTATAGATACAGTACTATTTCAAATAAATTCAAGATTTTAAGGCTTAAAAATGTTAATGACTATTTCCATTTTCTACATCCATCTATATTAGTTTYAAGTAAAGAAGAATAAATAGTCAAAGCTTCTTATGATTTTGTACAATTATATCATGATAAGTCCAGACTTAACACGTCAATTATTATCCATAAAAGAATAATTGTTTGTAAATATTTCAGGAATAAAATATATAAAAGATCTGGCCATATTTATTTTAGAAAATGATTTTAACACTACATACAGTGATGTATTAAGTGCAAGTCTTATTTATTTAACRTTACCCATAACAGTTGCTTCAGARATCTTTCTCAAAATTAAAATTGATAAAGAATTACATGCSAAACTCAATTGGCCAAGATCGTCTTTCCGACATCTGCAGTATATTGAACATTGAAAAATAAAAAACAGATGACTTTGATATAAATAAAATAATTAATGACTTTGCTGCCGTAAAAACAAGAAAAATTAATTTTATAAAAAAATTATGTAACTTTTAAACAATTAAAAAAAAAATTATTATTATTATATGACATATTAACATGTGAGAAAACAATATTTTTTAGTTATAATATAATAAGGTATATCGTTTCTGACTATTTTTTTTTTTTAGCAGGTAAAGGGCAAGGGCCCCACAGTCTGGACATTTTCACATGGGCCCCCTTATTACCAAGTTGTGCCACTGGTTACATGCCAAATTTAGATTCAACAGAACCAACAAAACTATCAGTTACCTTTGGTATTAGAGAGGATTGAATTATTGTCAAACTTAAATTTAAAATCATCATCTGTATTGGTATGAMAGATTTTTATGATATTTCAAACTTTATGCAAGTTATAAATTTTTAAAATATAAAAACGCCTATATCGATTAATAATTTATTGAAATATTGTAAAAAGGCTAATGTATAAACACACATGTTTTTAAATTAGTGTCTGGTGATAAAATTACTCTGATACTTAAAATAACACAAAGTTGATTCTGCCGAACAGAAATTAACTGTTTCATATATTTTTTAAAGAGAGAAAACAATACAAAAGGTGTAGCCATTTAGGGATTAATTAAGTGCTTACTATGCATCTGCTTCCAAAAATGTAGGATCTAGAATTTTCTGGATTATATCACTAAAAAAAAAAAAAAAATATTGGGATAAATCTAACATTTTAATTTAATTTAATTTACCTRACATCAGAAGATGACTGTTCCAAAACATGAAGTAATGCCTGATGATCGCAATGGAGAACAAACAACAATGGCGCTAGGATTTCATGCATACCCTACATAAAGAATAAAAATTAATAATAAATACAATTTTAGAATAAAATATAGTTGAAAACAAAAACCAACTATCGGAACACTGTTATAAGTAGGGTTTGGAAGTTATAGGAGCGAAAAAAGACAAAATATACATGCAAATATGCAAGAAAAATATATAAAATATGCATGGAAAAATGTGAAGTATGCAAAAAAAATTCTAAAAACACATATTTAAAAAAAATTGTATTATTTATAACTCTCATAAATAAAAAAAATAAATTAATTAAAAATATGGTGTGTTACCGGTTGGCGTTTGAGATTTTATTGAACTGAAAAAGTAGTTAAATAAATATATTTTCATTATTTGTGAAGTACAGAATAAATATATATTGAATAATACCTGTTAAGTTGTTGCATTGAACCACCAATATTTTCTTAAGATTTAAAATAAATTGATTAAGAATGAAAGAAAATTATTTTTTGTAGAAAATATTTAATATGCATACAAATATGCGAAAATCAATGGAAATAGATGAAATATGCACTTTTTCTCTAAAATTATCGAAATATGCATTTTTAACTTTCAATTTTTAAGCTCAACATTATATATCTTGGATTTCTAGCTTGGTCTGCTATATTTGCATATAGAACAATATGCAACTCCTATAACTTCTGAACCCTAGTCATAAGCAATCTACCATAATTATTACTATCTGTCTATATATATATAAGTCACTGATGTGCTGAAATTTTCACTGTGTGAAATTTAAAGCCTAATTAATTATTTATAGATTTTGAACATACAAATATCAACATAAGCAGAAGCTAATATCATAATTTAACTTTCTGATACATTGCATTCTTTTTTAAGTCACAATTCAATATTTGAATTTTTGCATGTCAAATTATATTTTAATATGGACAAAAAAAAACTAACCTATAAACCAGGGGTGGCAAACCTTTTTTGGGTCAAGTGCCAAAATTTAAAATCAAGTTTTTTGAAATATGTCCGCATGCCAAGAAAAGAAATGAATTTTACTAGGTTAGATGAAAATAAAAAGCRTGCAATAATTAGACACATTTTATTAGGTATATAATTTAATAAATAAATAGTATATATGTAAAGTTTTATTTCATTTATTATGTGATTTCTGTTGTTGATTTTTAGAAGATAACATTTTAATATCTGAAGTATAGTTGGTAGTTTTCAGTGAAACACAAGCAGCACTAGTTTCATCGATWAATGTATTTCTYTGCTTCGTTTTTATTAAATTCATTATGGAGAATAAACTTTCACAAGCATAAGTTGACGAAAAAATTAATAGTTTGAACAAATTTTTAATGTATTAAATGTGTTTGGAAGCGAATTCCAGACTAGAATTTCATTTCATTTTTTTTTAAAGTGACATATTAATAAAATACTCGTATTTATTTATTTATCAATAATCACGATAGTWGACGACGTCCGACGGATAACTAAATTATAAGTTTGTTTGAACAGCTGACAAATGTGCAATTGTCGTTATTGCAACCAGTCGCGGTATCGGTAAATTTAAAATAAACTTTGTAATCGAATGTTGGGTACTTTGTACTTCTATCGTAGCAATAAGAGTACAAAAATCATAAAAATTATTTATTATAACATTTATAAACACGTTTTATTACAAACTTATAAATTTGWTTCTTAAAATTTTCTCATACTAAAGTTTTAAAATATAATATTTTTTTTTAAGATAAATAATATTTGCGTGCCACTGAAATTTGGTCAACGTGCCATAGGTTCACCAACCCCTGCTATAAACATTTATTCTATTTTTGCTATTACAAATAAATAAATGTTTAAAATATAAATCAGAATATTATGACACAATATAAATTAACTGAATCTATAATTTTCTCAATTTGAATTGCCCATTTGTTTATTCCTTTATATATTGTCCAGTTTGTGGGAATACTCAATAAGTTGGATCTTCAGATTAAGATTTTTATATGATAAACTTTATTAAAACTGAGAATTAACTGAAATAAGTGATTTTATTATAATTAAAAATCATATGTTAAAATATCAACAAATTATTTGATTTCAGAAAAATATTTTTACAACAATTTATAATATATTGTTTAAAACCTTTATTTTATTTTTATTATTCATACACAATTTTAAGTACCTACCTATTGATTATTATTATAATATTCTGTCAACATCTAAAAAAGCTATTATTTGAAATTTATATTAACACATAACTGTTATATTATCAAGWGTTAGGTACTTATTTCAAATKAAAAAAAACTCGTTAAAATATTACATACTTGTCTATAGCTCAAATCAGGATGTTCTCTTGAATAACAAAACAATATATCGATCATTATGTCTCGAATTTTTTTCGCTTTAAAATACTCAACATCTGGGGAAGTTCGTATCACATCTTGTTCAATAATGTTCCTTAATTCAATGTCTTTAAAATATTGTTTCCAAATACTCTAAAATAACAACGTTCAAATGAACCAATTAATTCAATGTTCAAACATAAAAAAGCATTAACAATTAGTACATTTAATTATATACAGTGACAACTCTGTTAACACTATAGACAAAATCAAAACAACCAAATACAATAAAATTGTATAATTTGGCCATACTATATTATTAATAAACATTAAGCAAAAGTTTGTGATACCTATGAACAGTGGTACCGATCCCTATGTTAAGGTCAGGCCATCGTCCAACATATTTTGGAAATTTAGGATAGGGTGCTTCATATTGATCACTTTCTTCTAGCCGAGACGCCAGTTTTACCAATAATAAGATATTGGGCCTATTTAAATATTTATCGCCCTAATATATTTATAGGACTTTGGCACACTGTCTAGGAATGAAAAAGTAACTGAATAATGACCTAAACTAACATTGAAAATCAAAAATTATGAGCAGAGATGATCACTGTATAAAATTTTATTTTGAATATATAAGAAGGAAACAAACATCTTCGTCTTGTGACAGTGGGTCATCCGGTCCAGAATCTTGTGTATGTGGATCATTGTAATGTGTCGATTTAATTTGATTGTAGAGTGACCGATATTTTTCAATAGTCATCAACCATTCAGATGAATTCGGTGGCAGTATTTCCAGCAAAAGACGCCAACACACACTTCTAAATCTAGATGTCCGCAATTTGGCTTTGATAGCGGTGACTCGTAGTTCATCAGTGTTGGTGATATTGAATAGATATCTCCATTCGGTTCTGTGTAATTTTTAAAACTTAAAAATTTGAGTAAAACAAATTTTAACAAAAAATACATACTCGTATAGTTTGACGGAAACATTTTGACTATTATTATCAACAAAGCTGTTCTCATCAGCTACGTCAGAGTAAAACATTTAGGTGTGAATGACAAATTTTGTTTGACCTAAATTAAATTAATTTTTATTAATATTATTATTTATTTATTTAACTTAAAATGCACAGCATCACAGCATACAAGGAAAACAATAACAACTTTCCTGGGAATTTGMGTYCAAKATAAATACCTGCCAGTAATTAWTAATGTTATAAGATTTATTTCTGGTCAATGGTCACCACATATTCGCATTCAATCAARCACGTTGGTTCAATAATGAAACGAAACACAGGTGTACATGTACATTGTACTTYAATAATTAAACTATATTTTTATTTTTATTAAATAATATTATCTACTTAAAGCAATGGGCAATATTGCCTAATGGCCAATGGGCTATATAGTATATTATATTTCGTTATGCTTAAAGTTAACAGACAACTACAGTAACCTATTTAACAATTACCTATTTGATACTAATTTTTAATTTTTATATCACTCATAACCACAGAACACTCATAACATTGCTAAATAACATGTTATGTTATTCCAAGACCGTGGTATCATAGAACAATAATGATATCACAGAATAACCAGAACGGACACTCGCTGAGCACTCAAAAATATTCTGTGATGATATCAACAGGACGGAGTTAGCACAAGCCACAAATCCACACAATCGCACCCGCGTGTGTTGTCTCCGTCTTACACACGTACGACATAGGAAATGTTCGTTCGCTAGTTTCAATAGGGTATTGTCAGTTTTGATATTACTCAATATCACGATTTAAGATATCTTAAATCGTGYTCAATATTAGAGTGAACCACCTATTATCAAACTTTTAGGTAGCATTGTAGCAACATTATCTGTGTTCTCTCGTTGGTTTTTTACGATATTTTAATTTTTAAGTGAGTTATGGGTATGTAAATTATGAATATTTTAAAATATTCATAACTCGCTTAAAAATTTAAATATCGTAAAAAACCAACGAGAGAACACAGATAAAAGTTGCTACCTAAAAGTTTGATAATAGGTGGATTCACTCTAATATTAAAACTGACAATACCCTATTGAAACTAGCAAACGTGTGTAAGACGTAGATAACACATGCGGGTTAGACGTCCTCTTAACTAAATAAATAACTAGGGCACTTGGGCACTATAGAAAATATAAACAAGACTTAATTGTAATATTGTATTTAGGTAAATCATGATCTAATACTTCACACAACTCAGAATGATTTGTAGGCTGCCATTTGTTACGGCGACAATTTTGTGACCAAGTTTTTCGTCTTTTAGGGTCTCTTGGAAACCGAAAAAGGCGAAACCCTTTGCTACGTGTATTTAAACACTTTACAGCACCAGCTGTACAACCGCCCATTCCTTGTAGAATTATATAGCTTAATTCACATGATA